AGGGCTAGGATGCTGTGCAAGTGTGAAAGGGTGAGTAAAACCCCTTGTAAGGAGACAGCGGGCTCCTTCCAGTGTCTTTGGAGAACTGACCTGTTCTATATTTTGACTGCTTTCCACAGACCCCCAGTCTACAATGATCCCATTGTGTGGATCACCCCATGCATTTGCATTTTGGGCTCTCAGAAGATGAGGGTCAACTTTGACTCACCATTCTATCCCAGTATTTATCACCTGGCACATGGTGAACACTGAATGTTTGTTGAATGAAGAGTGAAAATGAAAGGATTCCAACCCCAAACACCCACCAGTGAAGATGGGTTTTCTGGCGTATTGGTTCATTCATTCAGTCCTGGTAGTAAGCCCCAGCAAGGCGCCAGGCCCTACCATATATCCTGACAACACAACTGTGGCCACCCCATCCTGTCACTCTCCCAGGTAGCTTACCTCCCCCCAGCCCTAGGGGAGAACAGTGAGCCTTGACCAGAAGCCCAGCAGACTCTCTGGGAGCTGTACAAACGAGCACCCACACTTCAGAGGCAGGGTGGGAAGGTGCTAGGGTTGTGTTAAGTTCCCCAGGTCCACAGAATGGGCTGCCCGGGTGGAGCACTCCTGGGATCAAGAGAAAAACCAAGACCATTCTAGAGAGTGAAGAGAGCTAGGAAGAAGGTAGACAGGAGGTGTGACTGCCCAGAGGTTCTCCAGCGGGGAGGAGAGAGGGTCAGGTTGGCCCCCAGGGGACATTTGGCAAAATCTGTAGACTATTTGGTTGTCACCGTGGAGGGAAGGTGCTGCTGGCGCCTGCTGCACCCTAGGAGCACAGGGCAGGCCCCACAACCCAGAATCCCCCAGGCCAGGAGGCGTCGAGATGGAGAAATCCTGGTCTGGAGAGACAAGGAGCAGGAGCCGCTTCGGGGAAGGTATCTGGTGGAGGGGACAGGAGAGCTGAGACCTGAACGTCACCTCGAGAAGAGGCAAGATGTGAGCTCCAGCCAAAGCCCATGCAGAAGCAAGGGACAGCCTGCATTTGCGGTGGGGCCAGAGCCGCCATCACAACCTTTGACAAAAAGCTGGTGAAAGTGCCAGGCCAGGCTCAAGCCACCTACGGGCCTGATAGCTGCTCCTGATTCTGCCACTAGGTCCTGGGTCTGCTCCTTAGGGCTGGGCGCTTGGGGAAGGGACAGGAAAGCTGGTTGCTTTCACTTTTCTGTCCCCACCTCCAGAGTCCCCACCCCTTTCCAGGCTCAGAACAGGAAAGGGGTGAGGACTGGGGGCTTCAGCCCAGGCCGACCACTCAGACAGCCCAACCCCTCCAAGTCCCTTCTCTGTGCTCTTCCAGAGGCCTCTCCAGCTGCCAGCCCCAGGTCCCCAGGAGCTCCAGCTGAGGAGGAAGAGGGAATTGTTGGGAAACAGACTGCCAGCCTCCTCCAGCCCTGGAAAAAGTGACTTCCTGAGAGAAAACTTGGGATCCACAGGGCAGTAAATAAACACCACATTCCAGAGAAGGAAGAGGGAGGGCAGCCCCAGCCCGCCCCCGACCCCAGTGACATGACCCATTAACTTTTCCAGCCAGGCACAGGGACTGGGAACCTGCCAGCCCTCTCCTGCCCCGCCCCCGGCCACCCTGTCCCTTTCTCTTTCTTGTAGTAAATCAGTTGCAGACCCTCCCTCTCCCTTGGGATCCCAGGGCTTGGAATAGCAGAAGCTCCGGCAGCTGCTTGCTCAGCACCTCCTGGGCCTTGCGAGGAAACTGTTATGCCAGGGCAATTTAGGTGGAAAGTCAAGTTCGCTCCTACCAGGTTTCCAGAAAGACCTGAGTCAACAGGCTGCCCCCGGGGAGCCAGGGCACCGGCAGCCCCATCTGCAGGCACCCTGCCAACCTGGAAGGCACAGAGAGACCCAACCGGCAGCCCGTGAAAGGAAATAGGACGCCTCTCCTTTATAAGAAGGGAAACTGAGGCCAGAGAGGCACGAACTACCAGCTCCAAGTCAGCAGCCGTGGGCATCTGAACTGCTGCGCTCAGGTCTCTGACCCCTGCCTGTATATGGAATTTCTCTTGGGCCCAGAAGAGTAGAAAGTTCCATGTTACTGCATCAGAACAGAAGGACAGATACTGTATGGAAGGGACAGACAATTTCCTCTGTATGTGCATTTGGAAGTACAGGGACACTACTAAACATCCGTGCTTCCTTAGCCTCTGGATTTCTCTTCTGAAATGAAAACATGTCCGTGTGTTCCCAGGGTCCCCAATTATAAGCCCCATATCAAAATTCCGGTCATGTGGAAAGTCGTCAAACCTCAGCTTGTGAAACTTGGTCGCAGAACGAATCAGCAAGGGAAATGTGCAGGGACATGTTTACTTCGGTAATTATTTTATGAAAAATCATAATTTGCCCAATATGCCCTGTGACTTTTGTTACAGACACCCATAATGAAGTAGGTAATTAGCAATTAATATTCACTTTCTGCAAACCTAGAATTAGGGATTTTTTTCCATAGGTCATTTGTTATTAAACAAACAAATTGCCAAACACTACACTATTGGTTCACGGAAAGCCTTGATTTAGAGCTGAATATCTGCAAGTGGGAACTCATAAAACAGACCATGAACCTTGAAGTGTCTTTTCTGCTGCTGTTGGGGAAATACCTATGCATCGTCGAACAAAACACTCTAAATATGAACCTCCTCAGCTGTGCTGTGTTACGGCGGCGTGTGCACCTGTCCACACATGTCGTAACTCCAGTTGTACGTTTTGTTTTGTTTTCACAAATCTTTCAAGCAAGCTCCCCGCATGGTACTGCATGGTTTTGAAAGGGTTGGCGGAAATGTTCTTTGTTCTTTAGCTCTTGCGTCCTCCCCTCCCCTCCCTCCCTCTCCCCTCTTCCTTCCCCTCCTTCCCTCCTTTGGGAAAAGACTTGGCTAAGTGATCACTGGCTATTCTCATGATTAACTCAAACACTCACTGTGAGCCTGCCTTTAGGGTTACCCACAGCACATGGTGCAAAGATGTTTCATCCCTTGCCAGGACAAATCACCAATGTGCCAAGTCTCCAACTGCTTGAGTCCAGGATAAGGGTCAGTGTGGGTCCATCAGCATTGCCTGGATCAGAAATCCCACAAATCTGAACTGAACATCCACTCAGCAAAGCGGGGTGGCCACCGCAGCTGGGGGGCTCTGCTGTCCTGGGTGGGAATCAGATCCTCCCCACTGGTGTCTGCAGAAGCCAAGGGTAGCAGGCAGGGCACTCCCTGCCTCTGGGGTGCCTACAGGACAGGAAGGCTGGGGCTGCCACAGCCCTGACTACAGTTATTATGTGGAACCAGGACAGGAAGATGGCAGGATGGGGTGGGGGCTAGGGTAGAAGGGACATAATGGTGACCAGTGTCCTCTGTTCTCAAGGTTATTTGAACTGCAGTACAGACTGTCTCCAGCTGTATCAGAGGAGCTGGGAAGAACCGAATAGCATTTTGTGTTCTCAAGTCAATTTGAATTGCTATTGCTCCTGCAAAGCACACAAGGAGGGTTAAAGGGCAGGTGGGCAGGATGCTTCCAGAATCTCAGAAAGAAGGAAATTTCTGATACCTCAGGGTAAAACCAGGCTGCCTAGCCCAGAAGCTTCTTGCTCAGAGACATTAAGCCCTGCAGTCTTCCTCTTTGGCTGCCCAGTTGGCCAAGGACCAAGTTTCTCTGTTCTGCCAGATAATTAAGTCACGGTCTTATTTGCTGGGAATCAAACTCTAAAATTTAAACCACTTGAGAGGAAAAAAAAAAAAGGAGTTCACCAAAACAATATTTAAGAGCTATACTTAGTCAGATTTTTATCTCCTGTGGGCCACTCCTCTCCAAATTTTCAATGATTATTGTTAGTAGAGAACTTTTTAGTTTGTTTGTGATGCTGGGGATTGAATTCAGGGCTTCATGCAAAATAGGCAAGTGCTCTACTGCTGAGCCACATCCCCAGTCCTTTTCTTAAATTTTAAGACAGGGTTTCGCTAACTTGCCCAGGCTGGCCTCAAACTTGCAGTCCTCCTGCTGCAGCCTCCTGAGTAACTGAAATTACAGGCATGTTCCTCAGTGCCCAGCAAGCACTTTGTATGAGATTCTGAGCCTAAAAACAAAAACAACATGGCAAGCTAGTGAAGCACAGGGTCCAGCCAGGCTCCCCTGCTAGTATTTGAAGTTGTGCATGTCGCTTTCCTCCTCTGTGATGGACAGAACTGTGCTCCTTGAAGCTCCTGCAAGATTAGGGGCCAGGGAGCAAGAAGAGCCTGGCTAGTTCTCTGGTCCTAGGCAGTGCAGGAGGGAGGAGCATCAAAAGGAAGGCATATGGTGGAAAATGTAAAGGAGGCGTAAACACCATATCGTGAACATTCATGTCCGCAGGGGGGAGGGAGTCATTGGAACAGGCTGCTGCTCTGGAGCTGGCTTAATTTGGAAACTTGACAGTAGCAGAGAGACCCCCTGTGCAATTCACAGGCCGGAAAAGTCCAGATTTCCTCTCCAACAGAACCCCAACATATGGGACTAGTTGATCTCAAATGCTGGCTTTAACGTGGTTGGTGACTGGTCACCGCAGGAACTAGTACAAAGTTGTTCATCGGCAAATGCCCAGCTGGTTAGTTGCCAGATCAGCTGGTGGAAGAGGGTCCTTACTTTTCCAACAGAGCCCACTGGTGCCATGCAAGATTTTCGGAGCCGACATTCGAATGCACAACCCACTGCTGGGCGGGAGCTGGGATCAAGGTTCTTAAGTTTCTGTTCAAGGATATTCCTCAGAGAAATAAACAAGTCTGATGAAAGTCAGAACCTCACCTGCTGCTGTAGTGTTCCTAGCATTTAGTGCGGCTCCTAACACATAGTAGATATGTGACTATTTCCTGCATGAACAAGCACAGTGTCCAGCATCCCTACCACGGCTGTCCCTCCCCAGAAGGCCTGGGCGGAGCTGCAGACACAAAAAGCGCGGAGCCCTGGCTTGAATCTGCAGCCCTGTCAGACTGGCAATGAGCTCTGGGCTTAGAATCAGTGAGTCCTGCCTGCAAGGCCTGGATCTGCTCCTTCCTATCTGTGCTTCTTCGCCTCTCTGAGCCTCACTTTCCTCATCTAGTCCGTGGAGGTAATCAGGTCCCTCTCAGGAAGAGAGTAATAGTAATGACCTCAGAGGGGCAGGGTACCCAAGTTAACCGAGTAGTGCTGAGAATGGGCTGCACACAGAAGGCTCCTGGTAACGTTTAGCCATTAGCATTACTATTGTTACGCTCAGCATCATTAGTGCTTGGCAGTAATTAGGGGCTCATTAAATGTTAATTTTCTTTATGCCAGACTGGCTGCTCAATGTAAAACCAAACTGTAATGGTATTCTACAAAATGTAAGAAGGTAAATAGGCTGTGGATTGTTTTTTAAATGTTTCAGATTACCAGGATGGCTCACTCCTTCACATCCACTGGAAAGGACAATTGAGTGCTGTCCCTGGACCTGAAAACGGCACCGAACTAAGTTCAGGCTTTGCCACAGGTCCTCTCTGTGGGCCTGGTTCTCATTTCCAGGGCTGTGTCCTGATTCCAGAGGAGCAGGGGCCTATAAGGGGTAGAAGGGACCTTCCCACTGCCTCACTGAACAGGGGAGAAACCAGGCAGAGATGGCTACCGTGTGCCAGAGCCTCACAGCTTGCCCAGGGCTTTGCCGGGCAGAAACCCAAACTAGTCACAAATATTTGTGTGCTCCCCCATTTCTTAGGCTCCCTGAGGCTAGGTGGGATTGAATGAACAGATGTGACACCTTTGAAGCGTGGGTATGTGTCCCTTTAATTTTCTTTACTCTGTTCCAGAAAGTCAATGGTTTCAGATGAAGCTACAACATGTCGGCAGTCCAGACCTCAAGTCACAGGGTACAAGAAAGGTGGTCTGAAGAGCTGTTGTCATCGGGGATCTTCATGAGAGGAAGATGTGAACCTCGATTTGTTAAGTCCCCAGAAGAACAGGTTTACCTGTCACTGTAGCATATGTCTCATCCAGTGACTACCTAGAGGCTTCATGCGCCTTTGTCACAGATTAGTTTGTTGGTCTTGATTACTTGAAAACACACACACACACACACACACACACACACAACTGACATTCCAACAAGACAACTTTTCCTATTATACAAGATGGCCCAGTAAACTTATTGAACATTATTACGAGCTAGTAAATTCCGACCTCTTTCTTATGACAGGTGTTTTCCTTTCCTTCCTTGAAAGGGGGGAATTGGTGCAAAAGGACAAATATCTTGCAAAAAGGACAAATATCTTGAAGCTGAGAAGCTGTGTTAGTGCCAAGAAGCATCTTTGCAGGAAAAGAAAAAGATGCTTCTGTTACTAGTTCCAGTCTTGCGGTCTCTTCCATAAACAGTCTTAAACTCCAGAGGGGAGGACAGGCCAGTGTCTTGCATTCTGCTTGCCGAGGACTTAAGGCGGAACCCTAACATCCCTTGCCTAACAGTCCCACACTGTGATGGGCAAGACCAAGGGGCTCTGATATCACTCAGATCTGGCTTTCAATTCCAGCCCTGACTTTTACTGTGTAACTTGGCAAGTTAATTGTTTGAAATTTCAATTTCCTCATAGTAAAATGGTCATAAAATTTCTACCCAGTGGGGTAGCTGGGAGAATTAGATAGCGTGAAGCAAGGTACAGTAGCCAAGGTTGCTTGGCTGAACAGCTGGCTTAGAGCAAGCTGTCAGGAAGCTTGTTTTCTTCCTTGCCCCATTGACAGAAGAGTTCGATCTCAAGTTCAGGCTCTGTCAAAAAACATTTAATATTGGAAGTAATGGAAAGGCCTTGCAAGGACAGCTGCGAGATTGCTCAGTGTGCCATACGGAAAGGTGGAAGGTGCTCCTGGGATGGAAGAAACCTAAGACCAAGCCCAAAGGGGGAACTGGACCCAGGGAGAACCCGGAGGCCAGATGTGCATATGAGGTCGATGTGGAGGCAGGCAGGTGGGCAGAGCTTGGCGGAGAGCCCCTGAATCTGGGACCAGGCTCTCCAGGTGGAAGCCACCTGGATTCTCCCTGTTAGAAAATGGTCCAGTGTCTGACTCTCCAGGCTGTGGCAAGAATCTACCACTAGGGGCAGCAGTGAGCAGGAGATTATTCAGCACCTGTGCTGACCCAGCACAGCCCTCCATATAGGGTCTGGAGAAAGAGCTGTTTACTCACTCACCCAACTCATTCACTCCACAGACGTTCATTTTGAACTTGCAGAGTGGATCATTCCTGAGCTGGTGCTGGGAACCCAGAGACAAAGAGGAAGCTCTTCCTTGGGGTGAAAGCTGGCTCCGAGTTTTTCAGGGAGAAAGATGTGCAAACAGATCAATATCCAAAAGCTAACAGTGATTTCCACTGCATAGTGGCCTCTTAGAGGAGGGAACAAGATCCCTAGAGCAGGAATAAGTAGCTTTTGTTAGTTTAGGGGATGAGCCTTTCTGGGGAGAAGGAACTATGTGTGCAAAGGAATAAAAGGAGAGATGGGGAGGTGCATTTGGGGCTTGAGGGGTGGTCTGGTGGGACTGGAGTGTGGAGTACGTGGCACAGTGGGAGGAAGTTACAGCAAAATATGTTCAGGAGGTAGAGGTCAGCTGGGGACAGACCCATGCCAGGGTCAGGAATTTGGACTTGATCCTCTGGGTCAGAAGTTACCAACTGGCAGTTTGCAGGTGGATGGGAAGAATTTATTTTAAAAAACACTGAATACCTTTAGATGGGGCACATGCTTCCTTATTTGATGCACTCCTCACCACTTCCTACCTTGCTATACTTCCTCCCTTCAGTCTTCAATGCTATGCAAAGTCCTTGAAAGTGCTGGCATTTATGACCTGACCTCTGGGCAACCAGTCATCAGGGGTGGGGACTTTTTTTTTTTTTTTTGGAAGGTTAGTGAAACATGACAGATTTGGTGTCTCAGAACCACACATGAGTAGAGTTAAGGAAGGGACACAATGGTGACAGATGACACAGTATGTATCCTTCCAATAAGACTTCCTCCTTTCTTCTTATTTGGAAACAACAACAACAAGAAAAAAAATGTAAAAAATCAACCCTGGAAGTTTCTATTCACTTGTGCAGTTAGGCCCAGGATTATGTCACCTCCTATTTCAACACATGCAGCCACATGCAGAAGGCTCCTGTATTCAACTATGTATTGAGCAACTGCTCGGCCAAGACTAGGGGCTCAGGCGGTGGAGGGCGGGGCAGGGTAGGGATGGGAATCAAAGGATAAAGCTCCAGAGTTCAGCAAGCTTGAAGCCTCACTGTGGTGCTAACACACATCCATGCCTTCCGCCGTTGGATAGCACAAGGCAGCGGTGGCCCCACAGCAAGTGGGAGCCAGGTTTGGGGTGTGCACAGTGCTGGGTGGGCAGTGGCAGGATGTCTGGGTGTCTTTGGTCCTGGGGATCTGCCAGCAAGCAGCCTTCCCCAGAGATGGAGCCCTGAACTTCTGTTAAGTGAGTGAGCCCATTTAAGCCATCTACAGAATTCATGGGATCTTGGACTAAACCAGGCAAGGCTCCCATCATTTCTATCACTTTTATAATGAACACACATCTCTTCTTCAGAAATCCCAAAGTCAATCCCCCAAATCTCTACCCACAGATCACTGAGTGTCTCCTCCCTGCCCCAACTTTGGGAGACTAGCAGGCTGAACTAGTTACAAATAGGGCCCTGCTCCCAGCTAGAGAAAACCAGAACTGTCCACCACAGACAGGGCCTATGACTATCTCATCCCTGGGTCACCTTGGCCCCTATAAGTAGGATCCATCAGGTGTCTTCTCCTATTTGGAAGCACAGGAAAGTTGCGCTCGGGTTCCGGAGATGACAGAGCCAGACATGGGGCACGTCTAATCTGGAGCCAGAGCAAGGCTCCGTGGCCCCAGGTCAGGTCCAACAGGTCAGAGGAGAGCCTGGGTATCCAATTTCCTTCATCCCAAGCGATTTCGTGTTCACTAGGGCAGAGCACCTCCTTTAAAGGGTGGAGTTGGGGCTCCTAGTCACAGATGCAAGGAATGTGGATGCCCCCTATGCTACAGTGACTCAGAGACAGCCTCATAGCAAGCAAGGTCAGAGATATGTCAGCAACCACACAGTGACGCCAGCCTGAATTTCTGGGGCGCTGCTGAGGTGCCAGGCCCTGGGATAGGCACTTTACAGGTAGACTCACCTGTCATTCTCACAGTGCCCCAGGAGCAGCAGGAGGCCTCTGCAAGTCCAGCAAGGCTAGCTGAGAGTCCCCCAAGGCAAGGGAGTGCGTGATCAGCCTAACGTCCACTCCTCTCTCAGCACTGAGCACAGTGGTGACAGGGTATGAACTAGGATAGGCCACAGCAAATTAGCCACTCAGGAAGCAAAATTCAAAAAGGCCGGGTGTCAGCCCTATTCTTATATTCTTATATGGAGAGTAGCTACCTCCTTAAATATTGCACACTGGGCACCTCATTTAGCCTACCCTAGTCCTGGCCCTGGGTAGTCATGGGTCAGACTGATGTTTAAGTCCTACTACTCCACTCTGTAGCCATGGGACTCTCCCTTCCCTGTGTCTCAGTTCCCTTTCTTGTTAAATGGGGCTGATGTCAACATCAAAGATTGGCAAAGAGGTGGTGAATTCAGAACTCTTATACAGTGCTGGCGGGAATGTAAAATGGTGTAGCCACTTTGGAGAAGAGTTTGACTGTTCTTAAAAAGTTAATCACAGCGTTGCCATATGAGCCAACAATTCCTCTGTGAGGTATTGCTGGGCCTCTCTAGGAACCCAGGGGAAATGGAAACACCTGTGTATATAATGACAGGCATACGAACATTGCAGGAGTATCATTATTTCCCCCAGATCAGAAATGGCCCACCTGTCTACCAACTGGTGAATGGATAAGAAAAATGTGGTACAGCCACCCAATGGGATACTACTTGACGATAAAAAGGAATGAAATCCTGAAATCACTAAATTCAATGAACCTCAAAAGCAGTATGCTAAGAGAAAGATGCCAGACACAGAAACCCACATACTATATGATTCCACTACATGAAATGTCCAGAAGAGGCAAATCTATGGGACCAGAGGTAGATTAATGGTTGATCAGGCTGGAAGTGGGGGAAGAAAGGAGTTGGAGAGGAGCTGCTAATGGGACAGGGTCTCCTTCTAGCATGAGGGAAATATTCTAAAATATTCTAAAATTAAATTGTGGTTATGGATGCATAATTCTGTAAATATGCTAAATATCAACAAATTGTGCATTTAAAGTGGGTGGATTCTGGGGTGCTTTGGAAGACAAAAGCTCCGGTGAGCACCTGTTGCTAACTTAAAGGTTGCCTAGAAATTCTTTTATTTGGGGAGGCTAAACTGGGCAGTCATGGTGGCTCTGTGTCCCCATGTGACCTGCCCTTGACCATTCAGGTCTCCCACTCAGCTACTTCTGCAGCAACCCCTGCAACACTACTCCTGATGGGGATGGCGCTCAAATCTCTGATTCCAAAGGCTGCCTTGGAGTTTTGGTTGGGCCTCCATGCTGCCTACTTAGTGAGGCTGCTGAGCAAATGACATGACTATGACACCAACGAAGTTAGGGCATTTAATAAATTGGAAAAACCATGGATGAGGGAGACCTTGGCAGGCCCTGAGTGCACATCCACACATGCTGTCTCCTGAGCCCTGGCTTGTGGCTCAGTCACCAGTTCTACTCTGTAGAGGAGGAGTGGGACTTTCTGGCTGGAGCCACCAGTGCATGGAGGGTAGGCGGGGTGGGGAGCGCCTGGGCCCAATGAGCCCTGGGTGTGGCATCAGATGACCTGCTTTTGGAACCCATGGACAAAAGACTTCCTATTTTGTGCTTCCTCATTTGTCAAATGGGGATGACAGAATTCCAGAATCCCAGATTGACAGAGCACGCCCACAAAAAGACCCCTGGATTTGTGTCCGCGATGCCAAGAAGGGCTAGGCAGGATGATCATAGCCGTTGCTGGGGTTAAGTGCCAGTGACTGGACTTCCTGAGTTCAGGGACATTGATTTCTTATCTGGCAGGTGCTCGGTAAGTGCTGATTGGGAAGAGGAACAGAAGTAGGGTAGGTGCTGCAGTGAACTAGCTGACCAAGGAGGCTGACAGTCCCTTGAGGAAATGTATGAGAGAAAACCCCCTCAACATTGCAAACCC